TGGCATAGTACCACTGGATTGGCTTAAGGCCAATGTGGTGCCATTATTTAAAAATGGGTCAAAATCTTTACCAAGTAATTATAGACCTGTTAGTTTAACTTCTATAGTTGGGAAGATACAGGAGAGTATAATAAAGACCACATAGATGAGCATGGATTCATGAAAGACAGAAGTTGTCAAACAAATCTAATAATGAGGAGGTGAGCAAAACCTTGGACAGAGGGTTGACGGTGGATGTGCTATACTTGGATTTTGCAAAAGCGTTTGACACAGTTCCCACACACGGGTAATGTGTAAGGTAAAGTCTACAGGCTTGGAAAAATCTGTATGTAAATGCTGTCACACAAAACGCTTTGGGTGGAGCCTTCGTTACTGACATCACGCAACCAAGGAAGGGAGCGGTGGCCATTTTGGTATCTGTTTCATACCTTATTCCACGTGGATCGTTTTCTGCACATGCATATCGATATTTAATCAATAAATACAGTTGCAAGAAAAAGTACGTGAGCCCCTTGGGATTACGTGGAGTTTTGCATGAATAGGGCATAAAATGTGCTCTGAACGTCATCTAAGTCACAACAATAGAAGAACACAGTCTGCTGAACATAATACTACACAAAAATTAGATGTTGCCATGGTTTAATTGCACATAACATGTAAACATTCACAGTGCAGGGAGGAAAAAGTATGTGAGGCTCTAGCTTAATGACTTCTCCCAGAGCTAATTGGAGCCAGGAGTGAGCCAACCTTGACTCCAATCAGTGTGATGATATTGGATGTGTTGCTGACAGCTGTCCTGCCCTTAAAAAACACACACCTGTTTTGGGTTTACTGGTTTCAAGAAGCACTGTCTGATGTGAACCATGCCTCGCAGGAAAGAGCTCTCAGAAGACCTACGATCAAGAATTGTTGACTTGCATGAAGCTGGAAAGGGTTACAAAAGTATCTCCAAAAGCCTTGATGTTCATGTATCCACAGTAAGACAGACTATCTACAAATGGAGAAAGTTTAGCACTGTTGCTACTCTCCCTAGGCGTGGTCGTCCTGTAAAAATGACTGCAAGAGCACAGCGCAGAATGCTGCATGAGGTAAAGAGGAATCCCAGAGTGTCAGCTAAAGACCTACAGAAATCTCTGGCACATGCTAACATTTTTGTTGACACATCTACAATAAGGAAAACATTGAACAAGAATGGAGTACATGGGAGGACACCATGGAGGAAGCCATTGCTGTCCAAAAAGAATACAGCAGCACGTTTGAAGTTTGCAAAAGAGCACCTGGATGTTCCACAGCACTACTGGCAAAATATACTGTGGACAGATGAAACCAAGAATGAGTTGTTTGGGAAGAACACACAGCACTATGTGTGGAGAAAAAAAAGGCACAGCACACCAACATCAAAACCTCATCCCCACTGTAAAACATGGCGGAGGGAGCATCACGGTTTGGGGCTGCTTTCCTGCCTCGGCCTGGACGGATGGTTGTCATTGATGGGAAAATGAATTCCAGAGTTTATCAAGACATTTTGCAGGAAAAACGTACGACCATCTGTCCGCCAACTGAAGCTCTGCAGAGGATGGGTGATGCAACAGGACAATGACCCAAAGCATACAAGTAATTCAACAAAACAATGGCTGCAACAGCACAGAATACGCCTTCTGGAGTGGCGCAGTTTGAGTCCTGACCTCAACCCGATTGAAATGCTGTGGCATGACCTTAAGAGAGCGATTCACACCAGACATCCCTAGAATATTGCTACACTGAAACCGTTTTGTGAAGAGGAGTGGTCCAAAATTACTCCAGATCGTTGTGCAGGTCTGAGCTGCAACTACAGGAAACGTTTGGTTGAGGTTATTGTTGCCAAAAGGAGGGTCAACCAGTTAAGTCCAAAGGTTCACATACTTTTTCCTCCTTGCACTGTGAATGTTTACATGTTATGTGCAATTAAACCATGGCAACATCTAATGTTTGTGTAGTATTATGTTCAGCAGACAGTGTTCTTCTATTGTTGTGACTTAGATGACGTTCAGAGCACATTTTATGCCCAATTCATGCAAAACTCCACGTAATCCCAAGGGGTTCACATACTTTTTCTTGCAACTGTACTACACTATATTAGCTTCTCTGGCTCCTGTAGTTGAGCTATCTTCCCAGATTAAGGATATTCGCACCACCGGTACTTAGAGAATGCTGGATGATTGACCCCTATGCTGCTTCTCTGTTCCTGCACCCAGATGTGACAGATTGTAACCAATTCTTGTATACATCTAAGTTCTGGTGAGTGTACACCCACCAGAAGTGGTGGATTACCTTCAAGAATATACGCACATCTGCACTTTGTTCACATGGATATATCATGTTTTAATCTGAGGACTGTTTCTGCTCATATATTTTCCAGTTGAAATTGGAAGGATATATATGGATATTTATTCACTTTATGCACATATTGCACTAAATAGCACTTTGAGTATTTTTGCACAGATATTTTTCTGAATTGATATTTATTTATTTATTTATATATATATATATATATATATATATATTATATAGCGCTGCACTCTATATATTTTAGTGGTTAATGATTCATACTCTGAATGGTCTAAGGTTGTCAGTGGTGTACCCCAAGGTTCAGTGTTGAAACCCTTACTTTTTAAATACATTTATAAACGATATAGGGTCTGGGAAAATGGTAAAAATACAATTTCAGTCTTTGCAGATGACACCAAGCACTGCAGTGGAATAACGTCAGGATGTCTCCAACTTACAAGCCGACCTCAATGCACTGTTTAATTGGGCAACTATGTGGCAAATGAGGTTTAATTTTGATAAATGTAAGGTTATGCACTTGGGGGTTAAGAATATGAATGCATCTTACATACTAGGGGGAGTACAACTGGGGGAATCAATGGTGAAGGATCTGGGAGTCCTGGTAGATCACAAGCTTAATAATGGCATGCTATGCCAAGCTGCAGCTTCTAAAGTGAACAAAATCCTCTTTTTTTGTATTTAAAGACTTATAGACTCCAGAGAGAGAGATATCATTTTATTCCTGTACAAATCATTAGTAAGACCTCATCTGGAATATGCAGTTAAATTTTGGGCACCAAGTCACAAAAAACATTGGGGAACTGGAGAAAGTACAGAGAAGGGAAACCAAACTGATAAGGGGCATGGAGGAGCTCAGCTATGAGAAAAGATTAGAGGAACAGAATTTATTCTCACTTGAGAAGTAGATTAAGGGGGGATATGATCAACATGTATAAATACATCAGTGGTTCATATAGTGAACTCGGTGTAGAGTTATTCACCCTGAAGTCATCAGAGAGGACAAGGGGGCACTCTTTGCGTCTGGAGGAAAATAAATTTAATCTCCAAACACGGAAAGGTTTCTTCACAGTAAAATGTAGAATAGACTTCCTCAAGAGTTTGTTCTGGCCAGCTCAGTGGATTGCTTTAAAAAAGGCTTGGATTCTTTCCAAGATACAGAGAATATAACTGGATACTAACATTTATAGCTAAATTTGATCCAGGGATCTCGGGGGATCAGGAAGGAATTTTTTCCCCTGCAGGAGCAAATTGGGTCATGCTTTTTTTTCCTTCCTCTGTATTAACTGTGGGTGTAGGATTATAACTTTTTTTTTTTTTTTTTTTTTTTTTTAATGGTTGAATTGGATGGACTTTTGTCTTTTTTTTCAGCCAGACTAACTATGTAACTTCTGTTTTGCATTTGGTGGATCAGCCTGTTGTCTCCAGTCTTGGATCTTTCAGAACTCCTACAGCTGCAGAGACCTTTCTGTTACACCTCTCTTTGAGGTATTCATCTTATGGAGCTTAAAACACTGCAGTGGGCACAGGGACTCCCCGAGCATTTACTGGATTTGTTTTTGCTTGGAAAGAATGTTAGACAGTGGTCTAAACCAACCGTGGATCTGTGGTTAACCATGAATCTTAACCTAGGAACCACTAGGCCAGTAGAGGGCAATCTTAATTTGAGAATTCTACTGACCAACATTTAGAATCCCTTTTTAAACCCCAGTTCTCACTGGCAGGCTCTGCCCCTAAACATATACTCTAGGTGTGACCTTAATTTGCCAAACTGTGGCAGAATGTTCAAGAGCCCTCAAAGGAGATCTTTACACTTCAGCTGGGGATCCTTTCCTGATTGAGCATGTGAAGCAGGTGTCTGAAGCCCAACAATTCAGTGGAGATGGCTTGCTGGGTGCCTCTAGGCTTGTCTGTAATATAGGTCTGCTGTTATACAAATGCAGAGAGCACTTTGGTTAAAGTACTGTGAGGAGGACATTGCATCCAAGGAGCACTTGACTTACTTGGTCTTCGAGAGACTGTGTCTCTTCAGACCTACCATTGACATTATCCTCACAGATATCATTGGAGGTCTGGACATTTAGCTGCCTCAGCATTAGAAATCAAAGGTTGTCTAAGTCTCTTTCTACTCCCCCCAAATAGGGACTACTAGGCCTTCACAAGTTTGGTCCTCCACCTACCTACAAGGTCAGGAGAAGAAACCTGTTCAACTGTCAGGAAAGCCTTCAGCATGAAAATGCACCCCCACTTTTACAAGCAGGGGGAAATTTGTTGATCTTTGCAGGCTCTACAGTAGTTTTCCCTTTGGACATTCAGGTGTAGAGTGCCTTTTCAGGGTCACAGACTAATCCTTCACCCCCAGCTCTATTTCAGTTCCCATCTCTTTTCCTAATAGTGTCACTGCACAGATTAACAGACCTACCTCTGCTCCTTATTGGTCTTCTGAACCAAAAGACCCTTGTTCTAGTTTCCTGCACCACTTTGGTCTCAGGAGCTGTAGTCAGTCTGGTCTCTGTTATCTCCCACAGAGAAATCAATTCTACCCTTTGGGACATGTAAGGCAATCAGTTGTGCTTGGTTAGAAGGGCAGGCATTGAAATTGTAGTAGATTGACTTGATTGAACCTCATATATTTCTGGAAAAAAAAAATAAGACTTTTTTGTTTTTCTCTACAGGGGCAGCTGTAGAAGCCTTGCGATATGACAGCAGTCCTTCAGGTCTGATCCAGTCTGTCACAGAGAGATTCCCTGATGATGAAAAGGAGCTGGAGTGCCTAATGCTAGAAATGAGTTGTGCAGATGCCCATTTCTGGGGGAAAGAGTGCAGCAGATGATTACTGTGGCTTCCAAATCACATTCTGCAGGGCTGTGTCATGGATGGATTATTAGACAGTACTCTGCAGGTGTTTCAGCTTGGATTGGGTGTAATTAGCAATATGGCAGATCAATTCAGGAAATGGTTTTGTGAGTAATCACTTATGATGATTATGGGGGAAAAAAAATTTAATGGGGCCATGCCAAGATGAAAATTACAGAGGGTTCCTTAAGGAAAGAGTGGCCAGGACCATCCTTGTGTTGCAGTGCCAATACATTTAGGTCTGACAGGTACAGGTTTTTGTGGCTCAAAGATGAGATGAGGTCTAAAAACTGAATGCATTCAAAAATAAAAATAATTTTACCAAACTGGATTGTGTTTTTGTATTTGTTTTTATTTATTGCTTGTTAATAGTTGTGACCTTCTTGGTGAACAAAGTGATGCCACATAAATAACCTTATTATGTTTGAAGGCCTCTGCTAAATGAATCGAGCACTCCTAATAAACAGAGTGGGACTAGCCGAAATAGCCATTACCTGCAGATTACACTAGGAGAGCACCTCCCCCTGTGTAATCTGCAGGGTTTGGCTAGCTGTTTCACAGTCCAGCTTTTGAATCAGTCAGTCATATATTCAGTTTAGAAGGGGATCAGTGAATGATCTGGTGTAGGCCACATATCCTGAACTGAGTCAAATGCTGATTTGAGGGAAGTAAAAGTTGATAAAGGGCCAATTAGGAATTATTTGCTTAAAATTACACTTGCTCTGCTTCTGAATTGCAACATCCTTTGGCACTCTTTTTTTTTTTTTTTTTTTTACATGTTTCTCCCCAATCATACAGCTGCTTCTGCAGCATCCCTGTTCCCTCTTTCCTTCATTTCTTCTCCATATTCATGTCATTCTCCAATCATATCACTGATTCATCCATCTTCCTCTTCTCTATGCTACTGCACAGTTTCATTCATCATTCACTTTCAGGACTCCTTACTCATTGTCACTCCCCAGTATCATCGCACCTTCTCCAGCATTTCTCCACCCACTTCTTCTCTATGTTAATGTATTCTCACAGTTCAGTCACTCACAGCACCCCTTCTTGCTACATTTCACTTCACAATCTCACTGCTTTTTCTCCTATATTATTTGGCACTCCTTCTCCACCTCCATGTCCATTAAGAAATATGCACCCACTCACAAAACTACTCCACTCATAAATGTTGCACAGTATGATGTAAGAGGTGGTATCAAAAAGTTTTAAGACTAGTTTTGCAACACGCCAACAGATGGCAGCACAAGGCTGCACACACAGTCACTGAGAGCACTGATGTTCATAAATCAATGTGCCAAAAAAAAACATCATCATCCTGTGTGCATCAGGAGCTGTGCAACTGGTGCTGTTCTAGACACATGCATTGCCACGTCTGCTATTTCATCATGGACAGCAAGTTAGAACATAGAGTGAATGTGAAATTCTGCGTGAAACTGGGCAAATCTGCCACAGAGATGTTTGACATGATTCTGCAAGTATACAGTGATGCTGCAATTAAATGTTAGAAGTGTTTTGAGTGGTGCGGTCACTTCAAGAGTGGAAGACCACGAGAGATCAGGAAGACATTCAACAAGCTCAACCCCCAAAAATGTCAAAACTATTCATCTACTTGTGCATGATGATCATTGGAGAACAATCCACAACATTGCTGCCATTGTCGGTGTGTCCTACGAAACAGTCTAGGCCAGTGGTGAGCAACATTTTTTTTCAACTGAGCCAAATCTCGCCAAAACCACGATTGAAATTTATTTTGAGAGCCACATTTTTAAAACTGAAAATACATAGGATGGTACACTGTTTTTAGTTTCAATAAGTTTTTATAGTAATTCATCCCCCATATAGTAATTCATCCCCCTATAGTAATTCATCCCCCCTATAGTAATTCATCCCTCATATAGTAATTCATCCCTCATATAGTAGTAGTAAGTAAGTAGCAAGTAGTAAGCCAAGTCCCCCGTGTCAATTCGCTTACCTTTGCTCCGCGCGTTCCTCTCGCCGTGTTCCCGCGCCGTTCCGGTCTTCAGGGCAGACTGTGAGAGGAGCCTAGCTCCTCTCACGTTCGTCACGCTCCCCCGCCTACACACATCCTGACAGCCAATCACTGGCTATCAGGATGTGAGTGACAGCGAGACTGGCCAATCATTGCATTTGAGCGCGCTGCCCTAGCTGTTTTTTTTTTTTTTGGATCACGCTGCAGAGTCCCTGCCGCCCGAGAGGGAGGGGGAGCGGGCGCCCGGCACACAAGAGCCGCATTAAAGCGTGTAAAGAGCCGCATGTGGCTCGCGAGCCGCGGCTTGCCGACCATTGGTCTAGGCAACCCTCATGTGTGATTTGAACATGCACTGCGTTTCTGCCAAGTTCATTCTCAGGCTGCTGATCCAGGAGCAGAAGGAACACAGTGTCAGTCTGCCAAGAACTCTGTCTGTGTGCGGCAGATGACCCCTCCTTCATGTAGAAGATCATTACCAGTGATGAAACATGGGTGTACGGGTTTCACACAGAATTTCACAATTGCTCTTTGTTCTAACCAGCTGTCCATGATGAAATGGCAGACATGGAAATGCACGTGGTAAGAATAGCACCAGTTGCACAGCTCCTGGTGTTACATAGGACGATGTCTTTTGGAACACTGACTTATAAATGACGATGCTCCCTGTGACTCTGCATGCAGCCTTGTGCTGCCATCAGTTGGCGTGTTACAAAACTAGTTTACCAACTTTTCGATATTACCTCGCAACGCATACAGCGCTCAACAAAACTGTACAAGGTTTCCCCCTGACCGCCACATAACATACCTCCTGAGATGAAAAACATTTCTCAGTTTCCTCTCTCCCTACATATGCAGAGCAAGACATGAGAAGTATGCAAATCCTTATGGGTGCCTTAAAGCTGCATGTGGTTTGGTTTACAGGCAACAACAGCACTTGACAACTTTTACTGATTTCATTGTTGTTTTTTTTTTTTTTTTAAATACTGAAAGTTTTAGCAGATGATACAAATGTTTTCATCACGTGGTACTAGGACTGCTTTGGCTGTGAGAAGTATTGGCCCCAGAATACTTTACTTTTTGCCCCTTGTGGACAAAGTAAATTTTACATTTTCACTATGGGCATGTTTATTCAGGGATGCAGAGAATGCAATAAGGTAAAAAAAAAACAACCTTCTGCCTTTTAGAACCACTTTAAGAGGATGCCCTTTGACAAGCTATTGGAGGTTCTTTCTAGAACTCTGTTCTCCCTGGTAGACCCTGCTGGGCAACCTGTTCTGGTAATAATCTTGATTACTCTGGCTCCCTAGACTAGGACCATTAGAAGACATCTCATCAGAACCATAGAATTTTTTTATTTTTTTTTTTTGGTCTGAGTTCACTGGTCCAATAACTCTGCTGAAATCTATTTCAAGCATTAATTACTCTTTCAGTGATAATCTCATGACCTTGTTTACTCTGGCTGACTAGACTAGGACCATTAGAAAGCATCTTATCAGAACCAAACAAGAGTGACTGCAGGAAAAAGACCATGAGGTCCATCAAGTCTGCCCAAATTTTTTATTTTACTTATTTGAGTACACTAATTGAACGACTAATTACCTCTGGTGAAAGTCTATTCTAAGCATCAGCTACTCTTCAGTAATAATGCCATCTAAGATTAGTTTGAACTTTCCTTTTGCTAGTTTGAGGTTATGTCCCTGGATTTGTCCAAATCAGGCTTGACCAGGAAGATTTCAGCACAGTTGCTGACAAACTTGCAAACATATGGTAATCAACAAACTGATTCTCATGACAATATGGGAGTTAATGCTAGTGTTAGAACTTGGGTTAGCCCTAGGATTATGGTTTCCTATCTTCCAAACTTGGACACAGAAAGCTGAAAAAAACCTAACCTTCTCCAACACATCTGAAAAAAAATAGGTTTGGGTAGACTTCTCATTTAATAGGGGCCTTATTGATAGGGACTATGATGTCATGGATTAGTAAGGAGTGCTATTGGAACCACATACTGCATTTGGCAGAAAAATATGGCTTCTGGCCAGGAGGAGTACATTTCTATATGATGAGAAAAGAGTTGCAGCTGCACACCTCTTCATGTTTCATACATTGGGAGTTTTGTGGATCTCTCAGAAGAAAAAAAAAAACACCCAAACAGATAGGGATTCATTAAAGTGATACGATTTTTCGTAAAATAACAAACATGTTATACTTCCCTGCAGTGGTGTTCCACAGAGCAGCCTGGATTCTCCTCTTCTCAGGTCCCCCGCAGGCTCTCCCGGCTCCTCCTTTCTGTTGGGTGTCCACATAGCAAGCAACTTGTTATGGGAGCACCCGCTGCTCCATGTTTCTGTTCACACATGGAGCCATGGCTTGGCCCTGCCCCCCCCCTTTCTTCTCGTTGGCTTGACTAGCTGTGATTAACAGCAGCGGGAGCCAATGGCTCCTGCTTACTGTCTCAGCCAATGAGGAGGCAAAGACCTGGGACAACGAGCCTGTTGTGCACATCGATGGATCGCAATGGGGCTCAGGTAAGTATTGAAGGGGCTGCACACAGAAGGTTTTTTACACTCATGCATAGAATGCATGCAGGTAAAAAACCTTGAGCCTTTACAACCACTTTAAAGCATAAGTAAAGGTAAAAAAAAATAAAGAATTGCAGACAGGCAGGCAGGCAATGTCTCTTCTGCAATAAATTAGGGTTATCTGTCTTTTCCAAAGCTTCACATGCACAGCTCCCTTTACAATACTGGCACCGGGTAAGTGCAGGAGTGATGTCATCCTGCATCGGGCAACCAAGAGGGCCAAAGAACAGCACCTGAAATAAGTTGGTGAGAAGATGCTGGTGCCAGCGAGGAAACTCACAGTCATAGGAGAGAATTCTTGCCTTGAGTTTCACACTAATAATGATTTAGCATTCTTCTATTCAGCAAAAGATTTTACACAAGGCCTTGTTCACACCATATGTGCAGAAAAACTGATGGAAA